ATAGCTTATACGGAAATTATTGTATTATAAAATGTAAGTTTTTCCATCTCTCAGAGGATTCTACAAAATGTTAATAAAACCCAGACCGCATAGATCCATAAATAAATTTGGCTCACATAATCTCTCAAATCTCATTTTGGCCCATAATCTATTTTTGTAGCAAGATCAGTGGCCAAATAAAACAATTTTTCGTCCTACCATCCGCGACGGGGACCTGCATAAATATTAGTAGAAATCAACATCTTAATTGAGAAATTGTATGTAATAGCCATAAAAATAATTATAATAGAATCTCTAACCATTTAATTTAAATCCAAAGGTTAATATGTTGCCACATACACTAGTTTTCCTTATTTTTTAATTATTATTATTTTTTTGGTTACGTTTGCAATTCACCCATCTTAATATCTAACATCAAACGTAAAAAAAAAAAAAATCTTATAGCCATAATCACCTAAATCTCTTAATTTATTTTACTAGAATTAACAATTTTACGAAATGTGAAGTGGTCTAGTGATAATACAAGGGGGTTGGTTTCCTTATGTTCCAGATTCAAATTCTTTTTGATACACATAGTTATTTTTTAAATTAAAATATCCAAAAACGGCTTGTGAATACTAAAAATATTATTAACCAAAGGTTCGGAACTCCGACGGTTTATAAAAAAAAAAAAAATTTACAATTTAAAACGGTAACGGCAAAGAAACCAGTAGAACTATATCCCAGGGGCAGAAAAATAATTTCACGTGTATCTTATTGTGCTGCTTGAGCTTTGAAGCGGCACCAGCACGATGAAACAAGTTGAAACCATGACACGTAAGCGCTTAGTAGCCTCTACTTGAGAGCACTGACTCAATTATCCACCGTTCGATTACAATAGCCACTCAATCTCAACCCTTTATACTTTTATTAATAAATCCGACGACCAAAAAATTAAATTTATAGATTTTTTATTTGATCTGTTATCCTCTCATTGTCTTCCTTGTTAAAAGATTGTTTCCTCTAATGGTGTTTTCACTCTGACGAAACCATAATCTGAGAAAGTTTCAGAGTCTTTGATTTTGAAGGTTTCTTTTCTCGGGAAAATTTTAAGCCTTACTTTCCTTTTGTGGGCCTAGATTAGATTACTTAGTTATGGCTTATGCTCGTGGCTTCTCTTCGTTGACCTTTTCGCCGCCGATTTCTCTCCGGCGACTCTGTTTATTCCGTCCCCGACTTCATCGAAACTACAGCGTTAAACCCAATTCCCGAATCAGCTGCAATCTGAAACTGAACTCGGATTTTTCTGGGAAATTTCGCGAGCTCGGATTGTCCCGCTCCGTAGAATTGGACCAGTTCGTCACAAGC